ACAGAAAACTTCCTCGTCCAGGAGATCGCTTGACAAGGAAGAATCTAAGGGGATTGGGTGAGCCGTAAGGAAGTCAGTTAAGGTTTCAACTTTAATTGCCTTCTGTGGTACATACATGATGTCAAACTCCATTAGCAATAATCCCCACTTGGCTAAATGTCCTGACAAGCATGGCTGGGTCATAAGGAACTTGACCAGGTCCGCCTTGGAGGTTAACTTGACCTCGTGACCGAGCAAGTAATGGCAGAGCTTCTATACCTCAAAGATAAGAGCTAAGCGCATCTTTTCAATCAGAGAGTAGTTCTTATTGGCCCCTTGCATTCTGCAGCTGAGATAATAGAGCGTCGTCTCTTTCCCTCCATCGTTGTTATGCGCCAGAAGTGCCCTGAGTGAGGGGCTCCCCAACACTGGCGTAGAGAGTACTAGTGGATTCAATAAGTACTGCTTGATGTCCTTGCGAGTAGCTTGGAAAGTTTCGTCCCATATGAAGGGAGTATCCTTCTTTAACAGGTGTGAAAGGGTTTGCATCGTCCTGAGAGGTTCGAAATGAACCTTCGAATGTAGGCAAGTTGTCCTTGGAGGGACTGCAGTTCATGGAGGGTTATAAGTGGTGGCATGTCATGAATTACCTTGATTTTGACTGGCTCAATCTCCAGCCCATGGTATCTCATGATAAACCTTAAGAATTTTCCTGAACGTAAGTCGAAGGTGCATTTCAAGGGGTTCATCATGAGCTGGTGACGTCGCAACCACTCAGACGCCTTTTTAAGGTCTTGCACGTGAGTGGCTTTGGTCTCAAACTTTACCACGAAGTCATCCACATAGCACTCGACCTCCTTGTGAATCATTTCCCTAAAGATGGTTATCATGGCTCGCTGGTACGTGGCACTGGCATTCTTTAGCCCAAAAGGTATCACAGTGTAGCAAAAGACACCTTTTGGAGTTAAGAACGTAGCGGCCTCTTCATCCTCTAGTGCCATCCTAATTTGGTTGTAACCAGAATAACCATCCGTAAAGGAGAAGATTTGGCCATGGGTCATGGAGTCAACCGGCATCTCGGTGAATGGCAAGGGGAAATCATCTTAGTTAAGAAAGTCGATGCAGACCCTGATTTGGTCATTCTTCTTCTTGATTGGAACGATATTCGCCAGCCATCTTGATTATTTAACTTCACGTATGAATCCAGCTTGCTTGAGCTTGTTCACCTCAGCATCGATCTGCATCTCGAGGTCAAGCCTAAACCTTCTTGACTTCTGCTTCATGGGTTTGATAATAGGATCAATGGGTAGCAATATGGGGGTCTAGACCAGGCTTCTCGTGATAATTTCAAGCGAAGACATCTCAATTTTATCTAAGGAGGGAGATATAACTTTCTTTCTCTTTCGAGGACATCTTTGTTGAGATGAAAGTTGGCCTTGGGTCACCTCATCCCCCAGGTTGATCTCTTTTAGTTCATCAGTTGTGGCTTGACCGCCCTCTTCCCACTCTTCGAGAGCTTCTTGAAGTTCCTCGTCGGGGGACTCACAAGGTGTGTTTGATCTCGAGTGTAACCAACCATGACCTTGACATCTCAAACTCTAGGAGGGGCACAATGTGGGGGAGAGTTGATCTTTGGTTAGTCCAGGGGATAGAAAGGTCAGCTTCAAGCGGGGGCTCCATAGCCTTGTGATGGGGCTCACTCGATGCTTGCCCCAAACTGGGCGACGCCTCGTGCACTTGGATTATGTGGCAGGCTTCGTGAAGGGAGAAGCCTGGGGATGCCTTGGCTTTGACTCGGGTTGCCAAGGCGTCGACGACTGTCGAGAATCTTGCCTCTTGGGTGAGCGTTTCTCTGAGGCATTCTTGATGTAGCATGGTGAGGATGGTGTCTTCGAACTCCCTATTTAGAGAGTCGAAGTCTGGGCATCACTGAACGGTACTTGTAGAAGGAATAGAGGAGAGGGAAGGAGAAAAAGGCCTAGAACGTTCCAAGCAGCTTTTTACGTTGTCGCCCGAGAGGGGTATTTAAGGTCTTACCCCGGCTTTGACCGTTGTGGGGTGCTTTTAAATTTGTCACCTGTTTCGGCCAGCTCTTGAGATATTGACGACTCAGGGCCGTCTGCTTGATTGGACGATAAGATGAGGCAAGCTGTGCCTGGGATGAAGTCCCGCAAGGTTGGTAGCGGAGGAAGGGGTCTGAGGAATGCTTCCTCGACTAGTGGCTGACGAAGATGATTCCTTTGGCAGGCCGACCTAGGTGTTCGTCTTCTCCTTTGGGATCCCTGAGGGGGTGTTTGGACCTCCCCATGAGGCTGGCGAGAGGTGGTGGCTTGGCGGACTCCTCGCGTCTCAGGGACTTGAGCCTGCTTCGCTCATGGTAGACTTCCTAGAGCTGAGAGCTCGAAGGCCTTGAGGAGTCCAGTGCATACTCATGGGGGGCCTGCAGCGTGGTTTCTCCCTGAACGAGAGCGAGGGCATGGACGTGTTCTGGAAGAATTACCCAGTTGATGCGACCTTGCTGAACTTTCTCCATGATAATGGCCTCGAACTCAGAGCAGCCATTGAGTTCGTGGCCCCAAAACTTGGTGATAGGGGCACCAAAGTTTTTCTGTGGCCCAGGCAAGGCATCTCTATTTGAACGTATTTTTCAGCACCTTGGTCCCTAATAGGAAGTAGGTCAATAAAGCCTACAAAACAGTGGAAATTCCTGACAATCTCAGAATGGCTCTAGGATTGGTCAAGATCTTCATCAATACTTCAAAAGACCACCTGCCAAGTTTCATCACGATCAGACATGTCTATGGCAGGGAACACCAAGAAACAATATCAATGAAATCGGTCTCTAGCACCCTGAAATGGACCCTGTACTAGAGTCATACTTTTGGTGCATTAAACAGCTGTGGGACCACTGCCACTCGATCCGGTAAGGTCGAACTCTTTATGGGTCAAGTTTCGACTTAATCGGACACACCAAGACAAAGTTATGGGTAAAATACTGAAAAGGGATAAGCTGCACACTATTCCCGTATGGCCACACTACATCAAAACATCATTAAAGGTGGTTGTTTTTACAGTCATGGGCAGTAATATTCAGGGCCTATATCTCACTCGTTCCAAGTCGGATCGCTCCCAAATTTGGTGAGCGTGTTGGTCTCATCAAGACGGGCAATTCAATATGTGGTACGCCCCCTGACGATGTCCAACCAGAGAGAAAAACTAAATGGAAGTCGCTGATCCGTGAAGGAAGTTGCAGAAAATTCAGCAGCAGCACGCCTTGTTCAAGCAGCCAGATCACAATCCTCGCATACCTGATTGGTGTGAAACCAATTGCATTATGTGCGTGAGATCTGAGGCTATCTCTGGTCCGAATCTCATGTACGATGAACGGTTGGATTTCACAAATGAAGGTGTCAAAGATATTGTAAATTCTGGCAGCTGGATATCAAGATTTCGATGAAAAACTCAAGACAACAAAATCTTCTTCCAGACACGAAATCAAGATACGTTCGTTGCAACGTGATCGTTACGGAATGGTCAGTGTGATTTATTGAAGAAATCATGAAGAAACATTAAGGAATGAGCACACCATCAATTCAAAGTTTTCAAGAATCATCTAAAATTCAAGTCTCATGATCATGGCTCAAAAACATGATTCATGGCTCGAAGTTGGTATCAAAATGATCGTCATGCCGATCCCTACAAGAAAACAATAATATTTCGATCAAAACCAAAACGATCTTGGGTCAGCCAGGGAAGATCACGCAAGTTCTCGAGCAGCAACAAGAACTGTTCTGAAGTTCTACACATTGTTAGGCACGGGCAAAACAGTCCTTTTGCGCCTATTTTAGAATTTCTTTAAATTCAATTAAATTGTCATTATCTTCAATTCTAGGTAGTTTTTGGGTGTACACCCATGTTTTAGCCCAATTCTATATAAACAGGCAATGCCTCATTGTACAAAGGACGGATTCATTCTTATAAGACAAATTCATTCCTCTTGGATCCATCAATAAAAATTCAGTTTTTTGCTTGAGCTTGTGCGTACGTCTTGAAGAGAGAGAGGAGAGAAAAGAAAGGGCTGGTACCCTTCGAGCAAGAAACTTTCTCTCTCCTCCCCTCTTTCTCTCTTTCCCCTCTTTGTCTCATCTTTATCTTTCTATCTCCTCCCCTCTTTCTCTCTCCCGCCTTTGTCTTGTCTCTCTCTCTCATCCCCTCTTTCTCTCTCCTCCCTTCTTTCTCTCTCCCCCTCTATCTTGTCTCTATCTCTCTCTCCCCCTTTATCTTGTCTTTATCTCTCTCTCCCCCTCTATCTTGTCTCTATCTCTCTCTCCCCTCTCTGCCTCGTCTTTATCTCTCTCTCCTCCCCTTTGTCTCATCTCTATCTCTCACTCTCCCATTGTCTCATCTCTATCTCACTCCCCTCTTTCTTGTCTCTATCTCTTTCTCTCTCCTCCCTTCTTTCTCATATCTATCTCTTTTCTCTCCTCTTCTTTCACTCCTAGCGTCGGGTGGGGTTTTTTCTCTCTTTTTCTTTCATTCTTAGCATCGGGTGGGGTTTTTTCTCTCCTCTTTTTCACTCACAACATTGGGTGAGGTTTTCTCTCTCCTCTTCTTTCATTCCCAGTGCTGGGGGGTTTCTCTCCCCTCCTCTTCTAAGCCAATCGGTGAAGCCCAAAGTCAGTTGGATTTCTCTCTCCTTCTCTTCTGAAGCCAGTCAGTGAAGCCTAGTGCCGGTTAAATTTCCCTATCGCCTTTTCTGTTACAGTCTGTGAAGCCTAACGCTGACTCAATCTCTCTTTCATGCTTCTTATCATGACCCCACCCCCTGACCCCTACCGTCCCATACCGGAGGGCGACAGGGTGCGGGATCGCGATCACAGAGGTCGCGAACGTCACTCAAGTGGAAGTGGCTCAATGCATAGGATAGGTGGAATCAGAAACAAACCACCAAAGAAAAACTAAAACTCCCACCAGAAGCATAACAGAATCTGGATAAATTAAAAACCATTCATATCCATAAACAGTCTCTAAGGAGAACTACAATATCCATAATATTACAATCGTCCAAGGCACTGCAGTCCCACCATCAAAATACATAACTTCAATAACAACAACTGCAAGACCGACGATCAACAAACACCTACACAAGAACTACACAAGAACAAGGATCCACTCGTCGAGTGCGGGCTTTCCATCCACCAAACATGATCACCTCCCACAACTCTCGACCTGTAGCAGTCAATCTACAAGGGTAGAAGCAAAGGGATGAGCTAAAAAGCCAAGTAAGTAGATCACAAGACTATGTTTCCCTGCCTAGTAGTATTATCACACAACACAGATTCAAGATTCTAAGCCATGCTCATAAAACAGGAGTCATGCATCACAATTATGTCACAATTATAGGAAAATGCTTTTCAGGTAGAGCACACACAATATAAGATATCAAAATCCGCATTTGTACAATGTTGTAATTATCCTTCACATTCACAGTATAGATAATGGATATCACATGAATTGGTAGTTCAGAAAGACCTTTCCTCAGGAATATCATCATATGCATTCCATAATATTACTCATTCATCTATAACTGAACATGTTCTACAGTATACACACTTATCACAAAGGAGTATATTTTTATCCCTTAGCACTTACAGAGTCAAGTAGTGCATTACACTCCAAGGCATGTACCTTACTGGCATCAAACACACAGGCAAGCCCTGCAAAACTCTTAAAGCGGTGCCCACTCATATAACAAAATTAGAATATCCACTACCAATGGACGACCCACTGTGTAGTGGCTAGAATTACAGTATCAGTCAATATAGTATGCCTAAAGTATACCGATAAATTACTTATTATCTCGTTGTCATGCAATACGCTCAAAGCACACCACTCAGTCACTTAACACAGTATGGTAACATAATCAGGCCCTGCAATACCCTCAAAGCAGGCACCTCACCAATATCAAACTGTTACATATCTCAGGCAATGCAATATGCTCAAAGCATGCCGAGAAGTCACACATAGCTTATCACCTCGTACGCACCTCATGAGAAGATACATGTCCCAAGCAATGCGATATGCACAAGGCATGCTGAGAAATTCCCATATCACTAGAAGTGTCATCATATCACAGCTGGTCGTGCGATACCCTCAAAGCACGCCAATATCTCAATATGCTGGTACCATCACTAACACAGTAGGTACCCATACATGTATCACATATCACATAATGACGATATCAGTATCTTGTCATGATTGTAGCAATATCACATATATATCATTATGCAGCCAATTCATGCTCACATGTACAGAATTAAGGGCTCATTACCAAGGGAGGATCTATTGTGTAGCGGTCAAAATTAAAGTTCTTATAACAGAATCAACTTTCATATAATAGAATCAGAGTTCTTATAACAGAATCAGAGTTCTTATAACAGAATCAGAGTTCTTATAACAGCAGTCAGAGTATCGATGTCACACTTTCTAAAAATTCATGCAATGACACCCAAGTCAAAACAAAGCTATAGATTTTTAGTTCATTTGTAATTTGAAGATAGTTTAAAAACCAATTTTCCTCCTATCTTTCAAATCTGGGTAGTTTGAAAACAATTGGACCTTGCTTGGCCCCTTAAAAGTTCAAAAGAATGAAGATATTTTATCTGAAATCTGTTGTGCAGTGAAGGCAGTGATATGTCTTTAAATTTACTTCGAAAATCACAATCAAGAAGAAATTCCAAAAGTTTCTCAACATGTGAATTTAATCTTGCTCATGAACCGTTCAAATAGCAGTGGTTTGGAAGAAAATTGAGTCGTTTTGACTAGTCAAATCTATGGCGACAGAGGCATAAATTCTGAGTTTTATAAAAGCTGTCCATAGTGACATATTGTTACAATTAATCATATAACTCTAAAATTAGGGAGAATTTCAAAAAGTTCAAAACATGTGATCTTAAGCTTATTCAAAAATATTTTAAACGGCAGTGGTTTGGAAGAAATCAAACTTCATTTGGTTGTTCAAAACTCTTGACATTCATGCACATTTTACAACATATCTTCTAATCTATAAAGAATATCATTTAGACATAAACATCAAACTCAAACTATACTCATAAAGTTTTCCAGTGGAGGTGATTTGAAGCAATTCTGAGAACATTTGGTCGACAAAGAGACACAAGAAACCCAATACTCCCTGAAATTCCACGGTCCAACCATAACATACCTCAAAGAACAAAGCATAAATTCTAAACTACACAAAGTAATCACATAAAACTAATTCTAGCTTAAACTAAAATAACAAGAGCATCAACCCACAAATTTACAGGCTCAACAGAAATCACAATAGTGCATATCATATTATATAAAGGAGCCTAAATTTCTGGAAAAACAGAGCACAAACACATACACACAAATCCTATTCTTCCACACAAATTTCTATACATTCTCATGCTAATCTCATGTCTACTTTCAAGCTTATTCATGCCCAAATCATTCTTCATACTTGCTTAAATTCATGCTTCATACTAAAATACACAATAACATGATCTACCTACCTTGAGCTCTGAACTTGCTCCAAAACTCTTGCACACAACCACTTCTCCAAGCTCCCAAACAAGAGACTCTAAGTGTTTTAGAGAGAGAGAAAGAGAGAGAGAAAAATGTGGGAGAGAGTGGGCCAAAGCACTTGAGAAGGGCTGAGAAAGGTTCAATTTAAAATGAGATTTAAAATGAGAAAAAGGTAGTAAGTGACAAGTGTCATTCATGCAAAACTAAATGACATGCATGAGGAGAGAGAGAGAGAAAGCATGGAGACATAATGATGAAGGGTACAACAAGCATGGGAAACAAAATGATTATTATAGAGAGAGAGAGAGAGCTCCCTAGACTACCATGGACTCAACGACTCACGCAAGGTGGTCTCCAACCGGTGCTGGCCTCTCACACAACTGCAACCGGTGCTGGCCTCTCACACAACTCCAACTGACACTGGCCTCTCACACAACTCCAATCGGCACTCACCTCTCACACAACTCCAACCGACGCTGACCTCTCACACAACTCCAACTGGTGCTGATCTCTTCTCCTCAGCTGGGAAAAGATTGGTGCATCACACTTCTCTTCCATCACAACCGACGTAAGCCTAGCGCCCGATGGGCTCTCCTCTCTTCGTTTGACACAGTCGGTGAAGACTAGTGCGAACTGCATTTTCTCTCTCTTCTTCTTATAATCGATGAAGCCTAGCGCCGACTGATTTTGTCTCTTCTTCTGAAACAGTCGTCGAAGCCTAGCACCGACTGTGACTTCTCTCTCCTCCTTTGTATAATACAGTCGGTGAAGCCTATCGTCGACTATATTTTCTCTCTCTTCTTCTGGAACAGTCGGCGAAGCCTATCGCCGACTACATCTTCCTTCCCTCTCTCTCTTTTATTCTCCTGCCTTTCATACTCGTCTCATCCCTTCTTTTCCCTCCTTCTTTATGTTCCCTTCTTCTCTTATTTCATCCTCATAACCATCATTTTGCTACTCTTTCGTTCGTCTAACCACAATGTTATTGTGCCAAGATTACTTGGCCCGCTTTATTACCACGGCAGACTAACCATCGTGCCTAGATAGTTGGTGCTAGTAATGACGTCTAGTAGTAATCCTGTGAGCCAATCTTTGTTACCGAGTCCTTTTTGGTACCACATCAGGCCAATTATTCGCCAGCTTAGACACCGCTCAGATCCTCTCGCTCAGTAGAATTCTTCTCTCCCCCATCTTTCTTCTCTTATGCTTTTTGAATGCGCATGCTGGTGTACGTTCATCAAAGAGGAAAAGGGTGAGGTCTGACCAACTTGTCATATAACCTTTTCCATATATGTGTGTGATTGCATAAAACAAGAAGAATACAAGCTAAGGGAGGCGATTCCGAACAAGTTTTATTACTGAGGGGCTTTCTTCATGATCTAAGATGGTGCCAACATGAGCCAGCTAGAGTAAGTCTCGAACCCACCTTAAATTCCTCTTTCACCAGTTGGTAACACCTTCCCCCGTTCTTGAGAGTGCGATCTCAAAAACGTCCTGGGTCTTCCCTCAAAACCCGATACGCATACCACCGGATCCCCAAAAGGATCTGGAGGGTGAGATCGAGACACCTAACCAGCTTGGCGACCCCATTGGGGACTTATTACCCCTTAGTCGGATTGTTCTTGTTAGGCTAGTTTTTTCTATAATTATCTGCTTTCATTGTCTTGTCACATTTTATATATGGCTTGTAGTTCCGTAACCCATTTATCCGGATCAGGGATTTTCTTATCTTTGTATTTGAGAGTGTCCCAAGGGAAAAATTTCCTTCAACTTCGTTCCCAACTATCCTCTTGAGCAAAGACCCCTTGTCTACCTTACAGGTCTTAACTTGGACAGGTGTGAGGTGGGACATAAAGGTCCCTCATTCCCCATCTCCTCACTCTGGTGGAAACTCCACCAAGGCGCCTTGCAATGGCAGCACTTTTGTTGCCCCACACAGCATGCACCCAGCCACCGGCAAGTCACTTGCCAGTTGTGTTCTTAAGGTACGTCAGAAGGCTGCCCAGTTCCTTTCTGCAAAAGGCAAACCAGTTGCCATTGCTTCTGTGGGTTACCATAAGGCTCCCCCCCACATTTTTGCACCATTGGTCTCTATTCCTAAAGGCTCAACATATCGAGGCAGAAACCCCATGGTCTGCACCCTCACACTCCCACAAGGCTCGTGGCTTACCCACTCGAGTCACACCTCGAGGCAACCCTTCTATTGCCTCGATTCTGTGTCCAAGATTGAACCTTCCAAGGCCAAGTTCTGTGCACGCTACTCATGTGCATCTCATTGCTCAGGCAACGTCACTGTTACACCAACCGGAGTGCACAGGAGATGACCCCCTTGTCCTCTTACTCTGCACACACAAGCGCACCTTGTAGGGGGCAGGCTTACACCTGTTCTCTTACAGACACCTGCTCATAGTTCTTGGCCTCCTTAGGCTATATCACTTGCACGAGCCCGGGCTGATCCCCAAGTCTCCCATAATACTTTATCAAGGGGCGCACACGCTTCGCCATCACAGACGTCCGCTCGCCCTAGACTAGGGCCTTCTCATGACTCAATCATGCTCGAGCTCACTCTTTTTCATAGAGCAAGCAGTTTTAGCCTTGGTACTAGAAGGTTTTCCCCAAGAGTACCATCTTGAATCAACCCCGTCATTTTGGCCATGTCCTTGGAGCCCACAAGAGA